ATAGATAGATAGATAGATAGATAGATAGATAGATAGATAGATAGATAGATAGATAAATAGATAGATAGATAGATAGGTGTTGTTATGCCATATGTCTATAGACTGTTTCAATTTATGTTTGGGTTATTAGCACAATAACACTCCTTTTCACCTGATCAGAACACTTACACAAAAACATATCCGCTTTTCCGTACCGAACCCACGGTATTTTCCTTCATTTTTAATGTAGGTGTTAATTGCTCCCATCGACGCAATTTAAACCAGGGTACGGGCTTTGACCCTTTCTGTCAAGGCCAACCAGCGCTGAGAGAGATACAACGTCCCAACAGAGAGACCATAATGCTCGATAAAATTTCTTTCCACGCGGGAATCGAACTCGGGTCTTCTGTGCACAACAGCAAAGCACCTAATCGCAACACCACAGACGCCAGACACATCTTTCTGCTAGGATGCTGTATCCCTCTCATCCACGGATCGAAACTGTGTTTATTTGGGCGTAAAAACACCTGCATAAAATCATACACCTGTGCAGAGCATTTCAAGTAAACCATCTTCTTTGTAGTTTCTAGGCATGTGAAGGTTAGAAGTGAAGTAAAACCTCCCCAATCGAAGAGAGCACAGTTGGAAGCCATTTCGTCCTGACCAATCTGCTAGCCACAGCTGAATAGCTGATCGCTAATAGGCGGTCCCCATTGGCAGGATCGGTTCGGTTCTGTTCGATTTCGTTTCATCGATTCCAAACGGGGTTTTTTTGCTTTTTGTTGTTGTTGTTTTCTTTTGTAAAAGTTTGACGGTGCTCGGGACAGTTGGTAGGAAAATTTTGAATTTTTTTCGGGTCGCAGCCTATTCTAATCGATTTTGGAACCAACAAGGGATCTTTAATGTGTGCAACTTGAACACGGGAACTTCGAGATTTTTCGCCTTTGTCCGAGAAGGCTAGGTGTAGATCTTTTCTAACCCTCTAGACCACGAGACCGCCCCCCCCCCCCCCCCCCCCCCCCCCGCGGGTTTGTTTGTTTTTAAGGTGACCATCGAATTCGCTCGAGTTATGCTACTATGGTAGCTTTTGCCCCTCCAAGGAGGAAAATCTGGCTATCCCCGGCTCAACTCGAATGACCGAACCGAACAGAACCGAATCGAACAGAATGGAGCCGACCAAACCGAAATAAACCAAACCTGTCAACGGGCACTACGTATAAGCTGTTGATATCTCAACTGAATTTTCCGCAGGACCATATTATTATCTTCAGAATTAATATCTATTATGTACAGTCTCGACTCATTGTTTCAACCTCGTCTCTTTACAGGGGCCACGCTAGTGGTCAGTTTTGTGATGGTCATCGAGTACCTGGGCCCGGACTGGCGGGACGCCTGCACGTGCTCTTGTTTGTGGACGTTGGGAGCCATCTTGCTCTCCCTGGAAGCCCTGGTGACGTCACACTGGCGCTGGATGGCTCTCATCTCTGGGGGTATTGGCCTGCCGCTCATCGGCACGTTCTTGTGAGTATTTTCTTTCGTTTTAGTAAGCGTTTTAAGGCACTTTCAACACAATTTTAGATCATGATATATGTGCCGAAGATTAGAGTTGTTACAAGGGAGTAATAAACATAAAAAAAAGAAGAAAGAGATATAAAGACGATAGATGTTTGATAGGAAAGAAGGAGAAAACCAAACCAGAGCACCCGCCAACCACCCTCTCTTGTGAACAGACGTGGAGGGAAAAACAAAACGCAACGTTTTTGTTTTTCTTTGTCTCTGTTTTTTGTTAGCAGTTTAAGGAGAATTACAGCACAACTCTTTATGTCAGTAGACGTGGAGGGTGGGTGTTTGGTGGAGGATGCTCTGGTGTGGTTTGCTCCTTATTTCCTATTTTTTAAAATCTATCATCTCTCTCTCTCCCCTCCTTCTTTTTTGTGCTTGTTACTCTCTTGTAACACTTCTAATCTTCGGCACTTATATGACCTTATTGTGTTGCAAGTGTCGTAAAACTCTTACTAAAACTAAAAGACGTGGAGGGAAAAATCAAAGCCAAAGCTTTTTTTCTTCGTCTCTGATTTTGTGAGCAGATATGAGGAGAATGAAAAACAACTCTTTTGTGAGTAGACGTAAAGGGAATGATAATGATCAATAATAATAATAATAATAATAACAATAATAGTAGTAATAATAATAATTATAATAATAATAATGAAAGTAATAACGATACTGATAATAATAACAACAATAGCTATACTAATACTAGTAATAATGATAATAATAATAATAATAATAATAATAATAATAATAATAATAATAATAATGTCTATTTTGCCCACTTCCGTTCATTACAACTCTAGATGCTTCACAATACCTTTATCTTCACACAAAATAGAAGTGAATGAACGTGCATGCATATAAGCTCTTTAGATTAAATAAGAAAAACGCAACAAAATCTAATACGGAAGCCACTTTTTCTTGTCTGCTTCCAGTGTTTACATTGACTGGTATACATTTTGCTTCCTAGCTACGACACATCTCTGATGTCTGTTGTTAAAATATTTATGTGTACAATAATACTGAGGTGAAACAGATTTTCCAGAGGGATTTTGTTAATAACTGTCTGGCTTGTCTGGTTCTCCATGTTGTAAGCTTCAGCTCAATTCTTAAGAACAGAAGGAAGAAGAGATGTATTTTGTTTGCTATTTGTTTTGCTGTTGTTGTTCGTGTTGGTTGGTTTAGATTTTGTTGTTGTCGTTGTTTGTTGTTTATCAATAGGGGTGGGGGGAGAGTGACAGACAAACAGACAGACAGACAGACAGACAGACAGACAGACAGACAGACAGACAGACAGACAGACAGACAGACAGGCGGATGGGTCCCGGGTACGAAACCTGACAACGAAGGAACGTTATTTTCTCAAAAATGTTCCCCTTCCACCTCTTTTCCTGCTCTTTAATCATGTTCTGTCTTTTACTTTCGTCTCCTCTTTCTGGCCCAACCCGGATCATTCTTTGTGCCATCTGCTGGGCTCCTGACCCTTTCTGCCTCTGCGGCCTTTCTACTACCACTCCTTAGCCCTTCTTACTGGTATCTTTCAGTCACACCCCTGATCTTAAGGTAGGTAAGATTTAACATCTAGCCTTCTCGAATAAGTACGAAAAATCTCGGAGGTCCCGTGTGAAATTTGCGCAAATTAAAGATCCCTCGGTGGTCCATAATCGACAAGGGTAGGCTTCGGCCGCCATCCGGGCAAAATTCAAAATTAATTCCTACCAAACTGAAAATGTTTAAGTTTTCCAGCGCGTTCATAATATAAGCGTATGCAGTTGCAAGCGCCGTAAAACACTTACCAAAACAAAACAAGCGTTGTCAAGTGACCAGAATGTATGTCTTCAATGAGTTATCCCCCCTTGGAGTGGAGAGCTCTTTTATGTGCTTTCATTTCGTTTCCTTTGTGGAAGAATGACAGAAGATCGAATTCTGAACACTGGCTCTTGGAGCAGCAGTGACACCAAATAAGAGAGATGCACAGAGGAGAATCTTAACGATACCAGCCTTTACAGGATGATTCAATTTTTACTGGTTACTTTGCACTTAGTGTTCTCAAAATGGTCATGAAAAGTTATTGAAAGGAAACGGAACGAGCAAAAAGCTTCTACACGCAAAAAAGAGCGGGTTTTTTTGCCCTTACCACCACGCAATGCAGTTTAACTCTGACTATACCAAACACCGGTACACTAATGCCTTGACTTTATCTACACCATTTGATTTGATTGTGTGTAAATAACTCGTGGCACACAAAGAGCTAATGCCTCTGTCCTTGTTATCTCACAATATAAGTATCTTTGAATCGCAAGTACCAGTGTCTATGGTTTAGTGGTTAGTCTCTTCGCCATTGCACGCAGAATACTTGAGTTCAATTCCCGTTGCGGATGAATTTGTATAAATATTTCAGTCTTTCAGCTGGGACTTGGTATCCCTCTCAGCCCAGGTTGGCCCTGATAGGCAGGCTCGAAGTCCACCTGTTAGGATATCAGAACTGCACCGATGGGATCGTGAAAACATCTACATTTTAGAAAATAGCAAGTGACTGAAAGAGTTTTTCACCTCCCCTTCACGCTCTTTCCCACCTCTACCCACCCCGTTTTCTATCTAACCTTCTCCTTCGAACCACATCCTTTTCCCCCCTCTTTCCACCCCAACTCCTTTCCCTTCTTTCCACTCCATCCCCTTTTTATCTCCACCAAATCCCCCTTTCCACCTCCCAATTTCATCCACCCCCCATCCGTAAAATTCTCATGGATATGTTTTTCCATGGACATAAAAAAGGTTAAGCCCAAAAATAAAAATTCGAAAAAGATTTCAAAACTTTCGGAAAACACCTGCTTCTCTGATTTCTCTATTTTGACGAGCGCCTGGTTTCCCCACGCTGCCTCACAAGCTAATATAAGCAGCGTCATCCACTTAGCCCCAGTAGAGTGGGATGGGTCACCAGAGATCCTACAACCCAACACCACTGTTGATGGAAATGTACTCTAACCATATTTACCACATGGGGGGAAGGGGGGGGGGTCAGGAAAATAACAACACCAAAGCACAAACAAAATTACTTTTTTAAATTAAAGAAGAAAAACAATACTTGAACGATAACAGTGATCCCTAAGGAGAAGGTTTTTTTTTAATGTCTCATATTTTCATTTGTAAGTAGGAAACTGCTTTACTCTCGATCGAGTACTTTCGCTTTTAGGAAGAGGGGATGG